TTCCCCAAATTCGGAGGAAGAAGAAGGAAGAAGGAGAAGAAGGGGAATGAAGAAGGAGGAAGGAAGAAGGAGAAGGAGGAAGAAAAAAAAAGTTGCAGAAGAAGGAAGAAGAAGAAAGAAGAAAAAACGAAAAAAAAAAATATGGATGACACGTGGCGCCCAATCATGGCGCCACGTCACAATTAATGGCAGATTTAACAGTTTGACTAACGGATGTATGAGACTGTCCCAAAATTTACACTTTAGGTATGAATCTGGAACGAAAAAAACTTGATGTACTAAATGTTGAAAACCACAAAACATGAGGGTAGTAAACAGTCTTTTACCCAAATAAAAACCTCCAACAACTATCTAAACTGATGTACTAATTAATCATAATTGTTTTTAAAATAAGTATATCGTTTTAATTTTATCCAATGTCGTCAAGGAAATTAAAAATAAGCAGATAAATTACAAATTAGCTAATAACTGGATATAATTTTATTCCCATTAGCCTCCCCATTGGAACATTGATCAGTGTCATAGAATTGGAAATGATCTCTCAATTCTTCTATCCTTTAGATTTGGTGAAGCCATTGCTAGAAATAAGTCTCTCTCTTTTCTTTTTCTTTTTTACCGAGAAACTTATAGTCAACTTTTTTTGTCAACTTTTTCCGTCTATTAGTTTTACAAGGACAGTCGGAACAACTGGTATTCAGCCACATCTGTCCAAACCCTAGGACTATACGTTCTTAGCTCATCATCATAGTTATTCGTGCTGATAATGTGTTGTAAAACTAATGATTCAGGGAGAGTAGAGAGAGTGCAGCAAAACTAAACAGAAAGAGAGAAGGGCGTGAGGAATTCTATGTGTAATTCCTCATGCCTAGTGCCTTTGTGTATGTACGTAGACTAATTCTTTAGACCAAATTTACAAATTATGTGATGTGTCACCAATAGAAAATAAGCACGTTTACGTTAATTAACACTTAAATAATAATTCAATAATCAACAGCTAAGTCATATGGTTTACAAAATTTGGTTCAAAAAGTTATCTCTCTAGCAATACCTTCTATTTATACTAATCATGATGAACTTTTTTGTCATACAGGTAATTCAAAGTCTATGAGAATTTGATATCCAAATTCTATTGTGATTCTACTTTAAGTTTACACTATCACATTCCTAAATAAACATGTTATTTACAACAAGATGAACAATTCTTCTTTTTCATTTAAAATATTTGATTATCGAGTGATTGGCAAAAATATATATCCTTTTGCATGCCACATTTTTGTAATAAGTTTAACTATGATTTGGTGTAGATTTCACGTCCCGATACAAAAGTTGGGATGTGATATCACATGAAGGGTTTTTTTCTTACACCAATTCCCTTCTCTTAACATTCAACTAACTAATCAAACACTATCATTTTTCAAAAAGAAAAAAACTTGTGATTTATTCCAACTTTTGAAGGAGATGTCTTATTAGACAAAGTGCTTATTTGGATGTACTTTTAAAATGACTAAAAGAGTTTTTAGAAAAAATGTTTTTAGGTTTCAAAAGCACTTTAAGTGATTTCTATAAGAAGTACCAGTTATATGCTTCATCCAGGAAACACTTTAAGTACTTTTCCAGGATTTAATGATATTTTTACTAAGGATTATTTCTAAAAATATTTTCACCAAAAGCGATTTTAGTTATTTCAAAAGCACATCTAAACAAGCTCTAAGTTTAAAGTTAGACTGTGCATGTCGTGTGATCAAATTTAATAAAATTATGGATGAAAAATTGAAGTAGATAACATTTCCATTTATACTATAATTAAGAGAAGAACCATCGTCAAATTCTCTTTAGAATTTCAACAATGCCCTTTTTCTCAAATTTGCACTTACTATACTAAATAGGAAAAATTACACATAGAGTATACTTTTAGTACTTAATTTTATATTGAAACAACACTTTTTGAACGGGAAACTTTAGATGTGATCCTTAACTACCAATGTTCTTTGACTAAAACCTTTGTGATTTTCAATTTTTGATCGAAGTCCCTGACATTAATGTAATAATGTATTTCTATATAGGTTATTATATTTTTAAATTAAAAATGAAATTTGTAGTTATTTATATTGATGAGATTTTAAATAAAACCCATAATTTATGGGATCAAAAACATTAAATATAAATTATACTCTCCAATATATATTTTGTGTGTGTGTATATATATACATGGGTACGTTTATCAAAACTAACCAAAAAATTATTGTACCAAAACATGGGTACATTTTCAAAAAAATAAATAAAGAAGATATTATGCGTAATAACATTATTAAATTTCTTCTATTAAACTTGATATGGATACATTCTCAAATCAACGAAATATAATGCACCGATATAAGTTTATATAAGGGATTAAGAAAAAGATTAAATGAATTTTATATAAAAAAATGGGTGCATTTTATTTAAAACAAGGTACATTTCACATATAACAAATTGGTATATTTAAGAATGAGTACTTTTTTTTTTGAACAAAATATATTATCTATACTAAGGGGAGGGGGTTGGGTACATTTAAGATTAGAAAAAATTGAAAAATTATATGAATGGGTACATTTAAGATTAGTAAGTTTCAAAATCCAAAATCAATTACTAATTTTTATTTTTAAAAATTATGTAACTAACATGTAATCATTAATACATTAATGCTAGGGACTTTGATCAAAATCCAAAAACTGATAAAGTTTCAATCAATGAACATTAAAAATTAGGGACTAGATCCTAATTTTTCCCTTTCTAAACATTTCAAGGTTGGACAAAAACTATTCTACCTCACAAGTGACGTCTAACATTTTTAAGTTGTTTTTCACATTTACAATTTTAACCTTTGGGTTTGAACGATCTCTCTATTTTTTTGTTAGCTGTCATAGTTCTCTCTATTTATATTTCCTCTCCATGGTACAATTGTAATTTTCTCTCTTATGCCCATTACCCAGAATTAAAACCAGAGAGGCAACACATAAAAACGGGTGCAACCTCGCCGCCTAATCGTACGTCGCCGTATCCTTTGAGATCTCCAATTATACTGCTGACACCGTCACCACCGGATCTGTGAAATGTCCACCCGTTGGTCTGCAAGGCCTGGAAATATGAGAGGTTTATTTCAATTCGATTATTGTAGTTACATCAGGTAGCCTTGGACATGGCAGTGATGATGGAGGCACATGGTGAACAGATGACGATATTGTACACCATCATTCAATACATGATATTGACCGGCAAGGTGAAAAGAATATTGGGGAAGAAGACGAAAAGCCACATATGCTTTTGATTTTTGATTTTTGATTTATTTTATATAAAACATGATTGGATTTCCAATAAAATAAAAGTTAGATTTCCAATTAAAAAAAAGTTTGATTACGAGTTAAACTCTTAAGTGAGGTTAAGTGAACGACCAAATGTTAAATTGGTTCAACTAAAATTATTAAAATATATATATATATATATATATATATATATATATATATATATATATTAAGTGAATGACCAAATGTTAAATTGGTTCTACTAAAATTATTAAATATATATATATATATATATATATATATATATATATATTTTTTTTTTTTTGAAACTGATGCTGCAAAAAATGGTTGATGAGAGGTTTGATTGATGGTATGCATGTAATTTTTTTTTTGAAAGTTTTGATTATACTAAAACTATACAAACTGAATCTACTAAAAAGTATACAAACTGATTATACATATATTTGATACTGATAAAAATGGTCGATGGGTTGGACTAATGACATGCATGTAATTTTGTTCAAAATATACAAACTAATTCTGCAAAAATGGTCGAAGACGGGTTGAACTGATTTTGCAAAAATGGTCGAAGACGGGTTGAATTGATTCTGCAAAAATTGTCGAAGATGGTCAATTGATTATGCAAAATGGTGGAGAGTAAGTTGAATTGATTCTACAAAAATGGTGGAGAGCGGGTTAAGCTGATTGTGCAAAAATGGTCGAATACGGATTGAACTGATTTTGTAAAAATGGTGGATGACGAGTTGAACTAATTCAGTAACAAAGGTCGATGACTGATTGAACTGATTCTGAAAGAATGGTCAGGACAACTTGAACTAATTTTGCCAAAATGATGTAGGACGTGATAAACTAATTCTGTATAAATGGTCGAAGACGAGTTGAACTGATTCTGCAAAAATAGTGGAGGACGGTTGAATTGATTCTACAAAAATAGTAGAATACGGGTTGAACTAATTTTGCAAGAATGATCGAGGACGAGTTGAACTGATTCTGCAAAAATGGTTGAAGACGAGTTAAATTAATTCTGCAAAAATGATTGAGAACTGATTGAACTGATTCTACAAAAATGATTGACGACAAAATGAATTTATTCTAATAATAAAAGATACAAACCGAATCTACATATAACTTCAAAACTGATTCTACAAAGTTAGGTGGGAAAGATGGTGCAAAAGAAACTCCTTTTCGCAGTGCTAATTCTTTACCATCGGTGTCCGAGTTTGATAAAGAATACGCACTGGGAAAAGGAATTTCCTTTTTCTTCACGACGGAACTACTTGCCCTACAAGTTTCCCTCATTCAATGAAGGGGTGGTCCCTCAAGTCTCAACGTGGCAACTTACACCAGAGCAAATTAGAGGGTTCACTTGGCCTTCTTAAAACTGAGTATGATTGATATTTTAAAACATTATTTTTATGTTTTTGGTCTGGACTTGAATTGTTTTTATGTTTTTGTGCCTTTAAAAAAATTAGTACAGTTCCTTAAAATATAGTAAAAGTTTTTATCTTTATATATAAAAACTCCTTTCAAATTGTGAATTTTCATCTAACTCTTTGTCATCTCATATTTTTTTTGCACGAAGATTCGTAAGATAAACACGAGAATTATGCAAAAACATAAAAATGGCAAATAGTACAAAAAGAGTCTTATTTTGAGGGAGTTTTTCATAACAGTTCTCTCTGTGCGGAATTACATCTATAATTTTATATTGTGATAAAGACTGAATCGCTTTTCACGCTTTTTTGATTCAGAAAGAAAATTTTGTTAATTAATTTAGATACCTTTCCGCACTGAGTGCTGGATTGTATGAAAGAAAACTAATGAAAAGGCTTGAAAACTTTTGAGTTTTAATGATAAGGACAAAATAAAGGGTAAAGTGAATAGTACCAGGATTGACTTTTTAGTGTAAAAATGTGGTTTTTCGTTAAAGTGAACAGTAACAGGTGCTTTTCGTTAAAATTCCCTTGAATGAAAGTAGGAGAATCCAGTCCATCACCCACTTGAACAAAAGCTTGATTACCAGTGTACGAGGAAAGATCACATGCCGTCATTTGCCTGTTAAAAGTAACGCACGCGACCCTCTGGTTAGGTTTTTCTTGATCAGAGCTCTGATTTTTGCTTATTTTGTTAGCAGCAGCAGCAGCAAGAGGACGAAGAGATACTTGTGCCGCACTCGGATTTGGTCGAAGGCCCTCAGCCTATGGAAGGTTTAATTTTTAGCAATTTTTCGATGATTTGCTGTTTGAATTTCTTAAGTTTGTGTTTACGGTGTTGCCTAATCTGAAAGAATTGATTTTTGTGCGAATTTGGCGTCACGAGGTTTGATTAGAGGGCAAGTGATTGCATTTTCTTTAGTGTGGTGGTTTTGTTGTTTTGAAATTTATGGTATTTGGTGTGTTGCTAGTAGCCCAAGTGGAGCCGGCTTGTACAGTTGATAGTCAGCCAGTGGAGGATCCTCCAGCGATGAAATTCACTTGGACAATTGAGAACTTTACTAGGTTGAACACCAAGAAGCACTACTACTCTGACATGTTCGTTGTTGGCGGCTATAAATGGTATTTTCTCTTGTCTACCTGATGTCAAAAACTGATTTATGCTGCTTAAGTTTGGCTTATATTTGTATCTCGGCGTTTGGATTTTGAATTGCTTTTGGTATGTTTGATCAGGCGGATACTAATATTTCCCAAGGGAAACAATGTGGACTACTTGTCAATGTATTTGGATGCGGCAGATTCCAGGACATTGCCATATGGGTGGAGTAGGTGTGCGCAGTTCGGCTTGGCAGTAGTTAATCAGATCCATCCCAAGTACTCAATAAGAAAGGGTATATTTCTCTATTAGTCTTATTTCCTTTTAGCATTCAATTTTGTGCTTTATGACCAGAGTAGTCAAATTTTAAGACCTTTGTCCTTGATTGTTGTATGATATTGCAGACACACAACACCAGTTCAATGCAAGAGAAGGTGACTGGGGATACACTTCATTCATGCTTCTTGGTGATCTTTATGACCAGAGTAGGGGATATCTGGTGAACGATACAGTTGTGGTTGAAGCTGAGATTTCTGTCTGTAAGGTTCTTGATTATGGGTCATATGACTCGAAAAAGGAAACTGGTTATGTTGGGCTCAAGAATCAGGGAGCAAATGGTTATATGAATTCTCTACTCCGGACTTGGTACCATATACCATACTTCAGAAAGGTTGTTTACGTGATCTCCTGTTGTTACTGTAAGCTAAACATGAATTGTCTTTTGAATTTTATATGCAAGATCTTAATGTTGGAGTTACTTACCAGTGTGTGCATCATATGCCGACAACTGAGGATGACATGCCTTCAGGAAGCATCCCTTTGGCACTACAACGTTTATTCTATAAACTTCAATACAGTGAAAGCAGTGTTGCAAGTAAAGAATTGACCAAGTCTTTTGGTCCCACACATGATTTGTTTGTGAAACATGACCTGCCGGAACTTAATAGAGTTCTTATCAAAAAGCTTGAAGATAAAATGAAGGTATGGGAATGTTTCAGTTTTTTCCATGAGTATAGTTTGTGTTTCATTTTCATTCTGATAATTGTTCTGTGGGTCCAGGGAACTATTGTGGAGGGTACAATACAACAGTTATTTGAAGGACATTACAGGAATTACATTGAATGCTTCAATGTGGACTACAAATCTACATGGAAAGAATCATTTTATGGTAATATTTTCTTGCACAATTTAAAGTGTTAAGAGTGTGAAGTAGTTTGTGAATGTCAACACATGCCGCTGGTTTCTTCTTATTTCTTTGCAGACCTCCAGCTTGATGTGAAAGGCTGTCGGGATGTTTATGCTTCTTTTAGTAAGTTTTTGGAAGTTAAACGTCTTGAGGGTGACAACAAATACCACTCCGAAGAACTAGGTTTGCAGGTTAATTACCAAATTCCATTGGTGACTGCATTTATACTGTGATTCTAATCTGAGGCTGCTATTAGTTGTTTCCTTCCACAAACCACTTTATAAAACTAGTGGTCTTGCATTATTTCCTCTTCCACTTAGATTTTTAACATATGGTTCTCACAACGTTATATTTTAAGTTCTGATTGGATGCCGTCCTTAGTTTTGTCTTTTTATTAAATCACTTGCTGACGCCAGTATTCTTACATATATTTCTTTGATATTAAAAATTTAAAATATTGTTCTCAAGGAATATTTTGGATGTTTATTCCAGGATGCTAAGAAGGGTGTCCTGTTTATCGACTTCCCTCCCGTTCTTCAACTTCAGCTAAAGCGATTTGAATATGATTTTATGCGGGACACTACGGTTAAGGTTTGTACTGGAAGCTCATCTTCCTCCTGCTGCGTGTTTTATTACATGAAACATTGAAAGTGTAATGCTTTACTACAAAGCTTCTTAGTTGAAAACAAAACTGTAGCATGTAAATATTAATGGAAAGCAAATAAACTATCATGGTAAGAATGTTGTATTATTTTTTTTTTTTGGCAGATAAATGATCGCTATGAATTTCCTCTTCAACTTGACCTTGATAGGGAGAATGGAAAATATCTATCACCTGAATCAGATAAGAGTGTTCGCAACCTCTACACTCTTCATAGGTATCTATTTTGCCTTGCACTATTGCACGATATAATATGGTTCATCTGTTTCCTAAATTTGGCATGTTATTTCAATGAATATTACTTTCTAGACCTTTGTATGCACTCTGTGCTTGGCAATATCTGAAGACGGTTATTCGAACCTGCTTTTTCATCTGCCTGTTTGGTGCTCTTCATGTTGTGTGGAGCTTCAAATTTTTACGTTGTAATTGGTTACTTACTATGATAATTTTCTACTGTTGCAGTGTCTTGGTTCATAGTGGTGGGGTTCATGGTGGACATTACCATGCTTTCATCAGACCAACCCTTTCAGACCAGTGGTACGGATCTCCTGGAATCGATTCTCTCTGTAATTGTTTCCAGTCTCACACACAAAAACACATAAGCACGAGACAGACATTCTCTCACACTACTCTTTTGCTTTGCTTCTTACTTTTCTTTGTTACTCCTTATTCAAATAACTTGGTTTATTGGAGTCTATATTTCTTACATTGCTTTCCCGATGGACTTTGACACCATAACTTGGTTACCTGACTGCCCGTTCGAGAACTTTAAAGAAAGCATCTGTTTTGTTATAACTTATATGCATTTTATGTTTTCAAGTAATACTTTGAAGTTTGCATTTCCTTATTTGGATTTTTATGCATGACTGAGTGTTCTTGTGCATGCATTTCATATGTGTTGATGTAATTTGTCATATCTTGTTTTAGGTACAAGTTTGGTGATAAATGTGTGACAAAAGAGGATGTGAAGAGGGCTTTAGAAGAGCAATATGGTGGTGAGGAAGAGGTAGTTTATTTTTGGCTGTATCCCAACTGCTATAATTCTCCTTATTTTAAGGTTACTTAATTCTCAACTGACCGTTTGTTGTTTTCTTTCCAACGGTTGCCACAGACCAATCCTGACTTCAATAATACTCCTTTCAAATTGACAAGACACTCAGATGCATACATGCTTGTGTATGTACGGGACAGTGATAAGGACAAAGTAATATGTAATGTGGATGAGAAAGACATAGCCGAACATCTGAGGGTAAAATGCTTGTCTTTACTTCTAGTTAATGGTAGTATAGGTTCTGGATTCCAGTGTCAGACTTAAGGGGCTGAACCTTTTTTCTATGATTCATTTCAGATAAGATTGAAAAAAGAACAAGAGAAAGAGAAAAAAGAGAGATTTAAGGAACAAGCACACCACTACACTATTATTAAGGTAAAGCTTTCTAGTTTATCCCTGTTCAGAATCTTCAGATGTGCTAGTACAGGTATTTGGTGTACACAAAAAAATAATAACAAAATTTATTGATATGTTTAGGTTGTTCGAGATGAGGACCTGGCAGAACAAATTGGAAGGGATATATATTTTGACCTTGTTGATCATGACAACAACAACAACAACAACAAAGCCTTTTCCCACTAAGTGGGGTCGGCTATATGAATCCTAGAACGCCATTGCGCTCGGTTTTGTGTCATGTCCTCCGTTAGATCCAAGTACTCTAAGTCTTTTCTTAGAGTCTCTTCCAAAGTTGTCCTAGGTCTTCCTCTACCCCTTCGGCCCTGAACCTCTGTCCCGTAGTCACATCTTCGAACCGGAGCGTCAGTCGGCCTTCTTTGCACATGTTCAAAATCACCGGAGCCGATTTTCTCTCATATTTCCTACAATTTCGGCTACTCCTACTTTACCTCGGATATCCTCATTCCCAATCTTATCCTTTCTCGTGTGCCCACACATCCCACGAAGCATCCTCATCTCCGCTACACCCATTTTGTGTACGTGTTGATGCTTCACCACCCAACATTCTGTGCCATACAACATCGCTAGCCTTATTGCCGTCCTATAAAATTTTCCCTTGAGCTTCAGTGGCCTACGACGGTCACACAACACGCCGGATGCACTCTTTCCATCCAGCTCGTATTCTATGGTTGAGATCTCCATCTAATTCTCCGTTCTCTTGCAAGATAGATCCTAGGTAGCGAAAACGATCGCTTTTTGTGATCTTCGCTAGATTGCTCCGGTCATTAGTGTGGATAAGTATATAAATGGATAGAGATAGGAAAGCAAACACAAGATGTACGTGGTTCACCCAGATTGGCTACGTCCACGGAATAGAAGAGTTCTCATTAATTGTGAAGGGTTTACACAAGTACATAGGTTCAAGCTCTCATTTAGTGAGTACAAGTGAATGATTTAGTACAAATGACATTAGGAAATATTGTGGGAGAATGATCTCGTAATCACGAAACTTCTAAGTATCGGAGTGTGGTGTCGTCTTGACTTGCCTTATCTGTCTCATAGGTAGATGTGGCATCTTCTCTGGAAGTACTCTTCCTCCATCCAGGGGTGGTATCTTTAACTAGTGGAGATGCACAAGGTAATGTATCAATTTCACTTGAAGCTTACTTGTAGTTTCAGGCTTGGTCAAGCGCGATACAAACCATGTAGTAGGAGTCCCCCAAGTCGCCGAGCTAGGGGGTCTGCTGAAAGAGGTGACAGACAAGGTAAGCCATCAGAGCTCCGACTGATTGTTCACCTTCTCCCCATCTTGCAGCAGCATGAAGGATAAAGAGAAGAAAAATGAGAAGAGATGATATGAGATACTTTTGCTTTTGAAGAAGTAACTTTCCACAGGCTTATTCTTGAACTGAGCTGGAGGGTTTTCTGGTTTCCTCCAGAGTATAAGGCCGACTGAAGAATTTGAGGGTCAAAACAAGTCCATCAAATCTAGAGTACGTTCCACCCTGCTGATATGGGATACTTTTGCTTTTGACAGAGTAATGAATGTATCGGCACGTGTGCTGTTACGCTTGTCTCCACATGCTTCCTTGTATCCTTCGCACTTGCCCTATCTGTTCCTCAAGCAGATGCGGAATCTTCCCTGGAAACATAAGATGTTGAAGATGAGTACTCGAGAGCAATGCCAGGTAAGTAATCAGGTAAGGGGTTCCAGGCAGTCAGTTCCTGGCTGGAAGCTTGATTCCAAGTGCTGACTGATTGCTCTCTTTCTCCTTGTCTTGTAGGTAAAAACAAGGCCAAAAGAAAAGACAGGGAAAAAGCATGATATGGGATACTCTTGCTTTTAAACCCTGATGATATGAGATATTCTTGCTCTAGTATAGCTTGTTTGCAGAGGTATTATCGGGGGGAAAGAAAGCTGAATATTTCGAAAGGCTTCGTTGGGAGTGCCCTCTCAGATATGATGAAGGGTTGAGCATTTTTGCAGGTCTGCCTGTCCGTTGGGGATGGAGGTCGACATATATAGGAGTCTCCCTAACAACAAGTAGTAATGCTATTCCTTTACCCTGCTTGGTCATAGCACGGTAGTGGGAGCTGCCAGTTTCACATGTTTTAACTCTGTCAGAGCACTTTGAAAAAGTGGTCTGTGGTATCTGGCTCTCGAGATTCGGAGAACGATGCCTCTTCGATTTTTGAGAAAGCAATCATGCTGGGGGTATGACTCTCGAGATTCGGAGAGAGAGCAGTGTCTCTTCGATTTTTGAGGAAGTAATCATGTTGGGAGTCTGGCTCTCGAGATTCGGAGGGCGGTGCCTCTTCGATTTTGGAGCAAGCAATCTTGTTGGGAGTGTTGTCTCGAATGTGAGTAAAGGTTGGGCATGTTTGCTAGTCTACCTTGCCACGAAGCACAAAGGTTGACACACAGGGACTTTCCAATTATCCAGCAATGGTACTGTTCCTTTACCCTCTCTTCGATTTTGAGAAAGTAGTCATGTTGGGAGTCTGGCTCTCGAGATTCGGAGGACGGTGCCTCTTCGATTTTGGAGCAAGCAATCTTATTGGGAGTGTTTTCTCGAATGTGAGTAAAGGTTGGGCATGTTTGCTAGTCTACCTTGCCACGAAGCACAGAGGATTGACACACAGGGATTTTTCCAATTATCCAGCAGTGGTACTGTTCCTTTACAGTTGTGGGTAATAATATGGTAGCTAGACCTTCAAAATTTATGTGTCTAAACTTTTGTTAGTGCTGTTTCTTTGCTATTCTTTTACCTTTCTTGGTCAGAGCGATGTAGTGGGAGCTGCAAGCTTCACGTGCTCAACTTTGGCAGAGAACTTTGGCAAAGTTATTTGTGGTACCCATGAGCTATTGTTGCGTGTGGGAAGTGGGTGATTGAACAGTAAGATTCATGTGCTTTCTACTTCACCAGAAGTCTTCGACAGAATGCCCATAATTTCTGCAAAGCTGAGTGTGCGTGTGACAGGTGCTGACAAGGCTAGAAAAGTAGGTGCCTCTTCGATTTCTGAGATCGGCCCTCGTGGTCTCTCTGAGCAGCCCAGCTTTTGAGAAAGCGAGCGCCTCTTCGATTGATTCGGAGAACGATGCCTCATCGATTTTTGAGAAAGCAATCATGCTGGGGGTCTGGCTCTCGAGATTCGGGGAGCAGTGTCTCTTCGATTTTTGAGAAAGTAATCATGTTGGGAGTCTGGCTCTCGAGATTCGGAGGGCGGTGCCTCTTCGATTTTGGAGCAAGCAATCTTGGTGGGAGTGTTTTCTCGAATGTGAGTAAAGGTTGGGCATGTTTGCTAGTTTACCTTGCCACGAAGCACAGAGGTTGACACACAGGGACTTTCCAATTATCCAGCAATGGTACTGTTCCTTTACCCTCTCTTCGATTTTTAAGAAAGTAGTCATGTTGGGAGTCTGGCTCTCGAGATTCGGAGGACGGTGCCTCTTCGATTTTGGAGCAAGCAATCTTATTGGGAGTGTTTTCTCGAATGTGAGTAAAGGTTGGGCATGTTTGCTAGTCTACCTTGCCACGAAGCACAGAGGTTGACACACAGGGACTTTCCAATTATCCAGCAGTGGTACTGTTCCTTTACCCTTGTGGGTAATAATATGGTAGCTAGACCTTCAAAATTTATGGGTCTAAACTTTGTTAGTGCTGTTTCTTTGCTATTCTTTTACCCTTCTTGGTCAGAGCGATGTAGTGGGAGCTGCAAGCTTCACGTGCTCAACTTTGGCAGAGAACTTTGGCAAAGTTATCTGTGGTACCCATGAGCTATTGTTGCGTGTGGGAAGTGGGTGATTGAACAGTAAGATTCATGTGTTTTCTACTTCCCCAGAAGTCTTTGACAGAATGCCCATAATTTCCGCAAAACTGAGTGTGCGTGTGACAGGTGCTGACAAGGCTGGAAAAGGCTGGAAAAGTAGGTGCCTCTTCGATTTCTGAGATCGGCCCTCGTGGTCTCTGGGGAGCCCAGCTTTTGAGAAAGCGAGCGCCTCTTCGATTTTGAGATCGGCCTTCGTGGTCTTTGAGCAGCCCAACTTTTGAGAAAGCAAACGCCTCTTCGATTTCTGAGATCAACCCTCGTGATCTCTAAGCAGCCCAGCTTTTGAGAAAGCAAACGCCTCTTCGATTTCTGAGCAGGCGCCTCTTCGATTTCTGAAGCTTCGTCGAGTGCAGATTTTTATAGGGGCTGGCATTAAGTTCCAAAGCACACTTGAATCTCCACCAGTAGAAGCTTCATTCTTGCACTTCTAAGATCTTGATTTGTCCGACCTCTTCTCTCTTCAACACCTTTGAAAATGTCTGGCCCCTCCGACCGTCGTTTTGACTTGAACCTTGTTGAAGAGGCAGCCCCGCCTTCTCCAGACAACATATGGCGCCCATCCTTCGTCTCCCCTACTGGTCCTCTTACCGTTGGGGATTCCGTGATGAAGAATGATATGACCGCTGCGGTGGTGGCCAGGAACCTTCTCACTCCCAAAGATAACAGACTACTTTCCAAACGGTCTGATGAGTTAGCTGTTAAGGATTCGCTGGCTCTCAGTGTTCAGTGTGCAGGTTCTGTGTCTAATATGGCCCAACGCCTATTTGCTCGAACCCGCCAAGTTGAATCATTGGCGGCTGAAGTGATGAGTCTCAAACAGGAGATTAGAGGGCTCAAGCATGAGAATAAACAGTTGCACCGGCTCGCACATGACTATGCTACAAACATGAAGAGGAAGCTTGACCAGATGAAGGAAACTGATGGTCAGGTTTTACTTGATCATCAGAGATTTGTGGGTTTGTTCCAAAGGCATTTATTGCCTTCGTCTTCTGGGGCTGTACCGCGTAATGAAGCTCCAAATGATCAACCTCTGATGCCTCCTCCTTCTAGGGTTCTGTCCAGTACTGAGGCTCCAAATGATCCCCTCCGGTGCCTTCTCTTTCTGGGGCTCTACCGACTGCTGAGACTTCTCCTAAGCAACCTTTGTGAAGGCTCCCTCTTGTGTGCTTATTTTGACTCATGTATATGTACATATTTGTAGCTTATCGGGGATATCAATAAATAAGCTTTCCTTCATTTCAACGTATTGTGTTAAATACACCAAAGCCGTTCTTCGCTAAGTTCTTTGAATTTTCTTTTGTTAAAGCTTGTATGTTGAAGCTTTCTGAGTGGAGCATGTAGGTTGGGGTAGTGTTCCCTTAATTTCCCGAGTGAGGAAAACTTCTCGGTTGGAGACTTGGAAAATCCAAGTCACTGAGTGGGATCGGCTATATGAATCTTAGAATGCCATTGTGCTCGATCCTGTGTCATGTCCTTCGTTAGATCCAAGTACTCTAAGTCTTTTCTTAGAGTCTCTTCCAAAGTTTTCCTAGGTCTTCCTCTACCCCTTCGGCCCTGAACCTCTGTCCCATAGTCGCATCTTCTAATCGGAACGTCAGTAGGCCTTCTTTGCACATGTCCAAACCACCGTAACCGATTTTCTCTCATCTTTCCTTCAATTTCGGCTACTCCTACTTTACCCCGGATATCCTCATTCCTAATCTTATCCTTTCTCGTGTGCCCACACATCCAACGAAGCATCCTCATCTCCGCTACACCCATTTTGTGTACGTGTTGATGTTTCACCGCCCAACATTCTGTGCCATACAGCATCGCCGGCCTTATTGCCGTCCTATAAAATTTTCCCTTGAGCTTCAGTGGCATACGGCGGTCACACAACACGCCGGATGCACTCTTCCACTTCATCCATCCAGCTTGTATTCTATGGTTGAGATCTCCATCTAATTCTCCGTTCTTTTGCAAGATAGATCCTAGGTAACGAAAACGGTCGCTCTTTGGTATTTCTTGATCTTCGATCCTCACCCCTAACTCGTTTTGGCCTCCATTTGCACTGAACTTGCACTCCATATATTCTGTCTTTGATCGGCTTAGGCGAAGACCTTTAGATTCCAACACTTCTCTCCCAAAGGTTAAGCTTTGCATTTACCCCTTCCTGAGTTTCATCTATCAACACTATATCGTCTGCGAAAAGCATACACCAAGGAATATCATCTTGAATATGTCGTGTTAACTCATCCATTACCAACGCAAAAAGGTAAGGACTTAAGGATGAGCCTTGATGTGTAATCCTACAGTTATGGGAAAGCTTTCGGTTTGTCCTTCATGAGTTCTTACGGCAGTCTTTGCTCCTTCATACATATCCTTTATAGCTTGGATATATATGCTACTCATACTCCTTTCTTCTCTAAAATCCTCCAAAGAATGTCTCTTGGGACCCTATCATACGCTTTTTCCAAATCTATAAAGACCATGTGTAAATCCTTTTTCCCATCTCTATATCTTTCCATCAATCTTCGTAAGAGATAGATTGCCTCCATGGTTGAGCGCCCTGGCATGAACCCGAATTGGTTGTCCGAAACCCATGTCTCTTGCCTCAATCTATGCTCAATGACTCTCTCCCAGAGCTTCATTGTATGACTCATTAGCTTAATACCCCTATAGTTCATGCAATTTTGTACGTCGCCCTTATTCTTGTAGATAGGCACCAAAGTGCTCATTCGCCACTCATTTGGCATCTTCTTCGTTTTCAAAATCCTATTGAAAAGGTCAGTGAGCCATGTTATACCTGTCTCTCCCAAAAGTTTCCACACTTCGATTGGTATATCGTCTGGGCCTATTGCTTTTTTATGCTTCATCTTCTTCAAAGCTACAACCACTTCTTCCTTCCGGATTCGACGATAAAAAGAGTAGTTTCTACACTCTTCTGAGTTACTCAACTCCCCTAAAGAAGCACTCATTTCATGTCCTTCATTGAAAAGATTATGAAAATAACCTCTCCATCTGCTGCTCCTTGTTCCTTTCGTAATTCATAATTCTCATTTCGTCTCAATTTTTACTTTGCTGCGTCTGACACTAAGTTTTCAAGTTTATGAACGATTGATGTACGCTTATAACTGTCAATTTCTCTTGCGAAATTGGAATTTAAAAAGTTCTTAATTTATATTTCGATAATCATTATGCTTCCAGTATTGGATGAGGCATTTTAAATGAAGTTATTATAATATAAAAAAATTCTGATGGGCAGTGATAAACATTTGATCTCAGATTTTGAAATGATTGATAGTGTTTTAGCAGTACATTGGTGCCAAGAAGAGCTAATGATGACCCCTTGTGTTTTTACAGGTTGGACAAATTGAAGGGGTATCAAATAAAATGCACAATGCGGAGCTAAAGTTGTTTTTGGAAGTAGAGTTTGGACCGGTAATCCAATTTTACTATATTCTTGTTATGACCTGTGTTTTGAGGCTTATTGTAGTTCCAATTGCTTTATGGAAGACATCAAGTCTTATATTTTCTTGCTTGTATAAATTCTCCAGATTCTACGTCCTATTTCTCTGCCTAACAAAACCGAGGAAGATATCCTGCTTTTTTTTAAGCTTTATGAACCTGAGAAACAAGAACTACGGTATGGCTCTTTCTGCTCAGCCAAATAGTTCTCTTTTGAGTTTTGACTCATGTTTGCTGATTTAAGTTTCTTTTCTGTTTCCAGTTTTGTTGGCAGGCTTTTTGTGAAGAGTTTTACTAAGCCAGTGGAGATTTTAGCAAAGTTCAATCAACTTGCTGGTTTTTCCCTTGATGAAGAAATTGAAATTTATGAGGTGTGTTTCACATTAACTTTGTAGCTTCAGCTGCGTCTTAACTTAATAAATACGTACATTTAGAATGTATATGTGTTTGTCCTGCATTCAGGAAATAAGGTTTAAGCCTTCTGTCATGTGCCAACGCCTTGACAAGATGACCTCATTTCAGTCGAGCCAGGTAATTGTTGCTATATTGCATGCTTGGTATATTGTAAATATGTGTCTGCTATAAGATTTAAATTTTATGCTTTTATAGGTTTGTTGGTCCTGGTAGTTAATCTGTTGCTTTGCTTTTCCAGATTGAAGATGGGGACATTATATGCTTTCAGAAATCTACTCCGCTTGAAATTGACGAAGGATGTAAATACCCTGATGTTCCTTCATTTTTGGACTATGTGCACAATCGCCGGGTACAGGCTGTGGAAATTTATACTTTGTTTTTAGTTTAAATTAGATTTCATTATTCAATTAGTGGTTTTTCACATTCTTTTACTTTTGTTGTCAGTGTTTTTTAATTTTGTATTTTGTTGAATGTTAAACCTAACTATATTGAATGATTTGATGCTATACAGATTGTTCATTTCCATTCTTTGGAGAAACCGACGGTGGAGGATTTTTGTTTAGAATTGTTAGTACTTAATCGTTGTCCCTCATAGTTGGACTGTCCATCTTTGTTTTATTGTTTGGTGCCAATGCTATAACTGTTTTTTTTCTTTGTACTTTTCTAGGTCAAAGCTACACACTTATGATGATGTGGTGGAAAAATTAGCTCACCACATTGGTTTGGAGGATCCTACCAAAATCAGACTCACTGCACATAACTGCTATTCTCAACAACCTAGGGCCCAACCCATCAAATATCGGGGAGTAGAGCATTTAACAGAAATGTTAACTCATTACAATCAAGTAAGTGCATCGTATTGGTCTCCTCTGTTGTTTAACTCTCTCTCATAAGCATCATGTGGTGTGGGTACTAATTATGCTTTGCCTTTGACAGACCTCTGATATTTTGTACTATGAAGTCTTTGAAATTACCCTGCCAGAATTGCAAGATCTGAAACATCTAAAAGTTGCTTTTCATCATGCTACAAAAGATGAGGTTCATGTAAAATTTGGTCTGCATCTTCTGCGTGTGGACGATTGTGCACATCATAATCTTGTGTTATTTGTTTGCAGGTGGAGATTCACAGTATTAGATTGCCTAAACAGAGCATTGTTGGGGATGTGATTAATGTACTTAAAACGAAGGTGAAGTCTCTCTCTCTCTCTCTCTATGCATTCCATGTATTATCCATGACTTGCCATCTAAAAATTTCTGCCAATTGTATGAGAAGTCCTCTGTTTGTTTTTAGTTTTTCATTTTTTGTTCAGGAAAGCTAATGATGCTTATCATACATTACTTTAGGGCTGCAGAGCTTGTAAAAAATGTGACCTTTAATTGAAAACTACTCTTTTCCCTTCCTTCTGCTGGTTTCTGTACTTTCTGTCCTTTATAGTTGCCAATAATAGATTACACTCAACTTGCAGTGGTGATCATTACTTGACAAAAGTGGTAGAAATTGTTATCACCGCCTCTTAAACAGTTTTCTTATAATGGATCTCTCTCAATGTGTGGTGTACCTGAAACAGGTAGAGTTGTCTCATCCAAATGCAGAACTGCGACTGCTTGAGGTTTTCGATCACAAGATCTACAAGGTAATTACTGCTGGTATGCCTGATGTATCAGCATGTTAGCTATTTTTTTCTGGTCTTAAGTTATTGTAGCATGCCTCATTTGTGATGCTGATTTGGTATCATGATGCTTTTGCTTATTTTCAGGATCTTATTGTATATGAATCCCTTCTACTGTATAGGACTGATGTAATTTTGTCTGATGTAGTAGCAGTAGCACTCATAATTCCTTGTGTTCTTTTTCAGATCTTCCCAAACAGTGAGAAAATTGAGAATATTAATAACCAGTACTGGACTTTGCGTGCAGAGGAGGCAAGTCCCTTTTCCCCCTCTTCTTTATTTAGTTTTATTTTGAAGAGTTTCTGGTTTAACTCTGTTGAAATTTTTTATATAGCTTTATGGGCAAGGTTCGTAATTCTGTTTGTTTCACTTTCTGGATCAACATCCCATCAACATCCCATCAATATCCCTTTTTTTTTTCCTTTTCTTTTCTTGTGTAACAGATTCCAGAAGAAGAGAAAAACTTGGGTCTCTATCGTCGCTTGATTCATGTTTTCCACTTCACGGTTACTGTATTGAACCAGATGGTAGATGTAAACTATTTGATTACTGTTAAAGATGATTTTACCCAAAACTGTGATTTTTCGAATTGGTCATATTCTTATTATTTGTACATTTTACAGCAAGTACAAAATTTTGGGGAACCTTTCGTATTGGTTATCCATGAAGGGGAAACTTTAGCTGAAGTTAAAATAAGGATACAAAAGAAATTGCAAGTCCCGGATGAGGAGTTCTCAAAGGTACTTGACCCATGCCTTATATTCATTGGGATGGGGTCACTAGAGGAAAAGAATGTTCATTCGCATGTATAAATGATCTTTTATTTTGCTTCCTTGTCGATTTCCCCATTTGTTGTGCAGTGGAAGTTTGCATTCTTGTCACTTGGTCGTCCAGAGTACCTGCGGGATTCTGACATTGTTTCCAGCCGATTTCAGGTGTATCTACGGTCTATCGCAACTCATGTCCCCCTTTCTTTTACATTATGTCTGCAGGCCAATCTAAACCATGTTTATGGGTATTGCCTAGGTGGATTTCTTTTTTAACTTCCAACATTTGAAATTTTGTTTTCTTCAGAGAAGAGATGTTTATGGTGCATGGGAGCAGTACCTTGGGTTGGAGCACTCTGATAAAGCTCCTAAGAGGGCTCACGCAGCAAATCAAGTAAGTGCTGTTGTAAATATTTCTTTTCCAACCTCTATTTGCCAGGCAGAGCCAACTCCACAAGAAGACGTAAGAATCCGACCAAGCCCACATTCATTTTAAAAAAATTTAATCTTCATAATGATCTCTGGACTCTGATGCAGGCTGCCCAAGTAACCTTAGAGTCCATGGCGTCTAATGTTGGCCATGAGACAGCAAGCAGAGAAATTGAAATGCAAAATGATGACCTGGATGGCCCTGCTTCTCCAGCAGTTGATCGAACTCTGAGAAGACTTTCTGCTGCAGAGGATCTATTGAAGTCCACTTCAGCCAGAGGACCATCAGTAGAGACTTTGGCTGCATTAGACACTGTGAGCCGTTATGCAAGGAGCAGCCTAGACACACTCTGCACGAATGGGGCTTATGAGGAGTTCAAAGCAGCCTTGAAACTTGTGACTGAACAAGGGATGATCCCTTCAACGATCACTTCCATGTTCAAGGATCTTCTTTCGTCTTTGGATGGTGAAATGCTGAAGTACGTGGCCGCAGTAAAAGAGCTTACCCAAGCTGAAGATTTTCGAGTCGAACACGAAGGGATAGAAGTTCAAATGGGACTGGCCATGCAGAAATGCCAAGAGAGGAAATACATTGTGGCCAATTATGATGCCAAGGTTACAGAACTTGAGGCTGAACTGGTCCGAGTAAAGGCAGAACGAGCTGAGGCAATGGCGAATCTAGAAACTGCTGTGGATGAAATGGAACCTCTTAAGCAGAGGTTTGCAGATAGCTCATTAAAATCTGAAAACTTGATTGTGAGGCAGGCTACCTTGACATTGCAAAAGTGTAGTTCTGTTGGAACCTGGGCCGTCCTACAAGATGCACTGAAGAAGTACTTTAAGTTTTAGAAATATTTTCCTTTGTGAATAAGCCCTTTCTTGGTCCAAAAGTTTGTATGAACATGCAAAGAAATGAACACGTCGTGCAAAATTCAGGTAACTTGTTTCCTCACATTGTTCGAGTCTGAATGGGAAGGAAGATGATTGTGCTGATGGGTGTTTTTCGTTTACACTCCTACCCCTCCTCGTTTGGTTACTCCGACAAAATTGTGTTTTTGGCTTAATCTGCACCCTGCTAAAAGTGGATCTTTGTTTAACAACCACACATTGCCTAACCAACACTTCCTTGCGGAGGAGTAGCGGCCGATCTACCTCATAGCAGAAGGAATCGGAGCTAGACTTCGAAGTAAAAAATCCAAAATTTTATAAATTAATAAAGGAAAAACCGACCTGGTGGATGGGTCGAGCTTTTCTCTTGCAATCGGGTTGTTATGACTACCAGTTGGATGTCTTGGCGGTAATGATAGGATCTTGTACTTGAACCGGTGGCTCATTCTAGGGGTTGCTATTCAGTTTTTATCATAAATGGCCTATGAAGTTTAGCTAAATTATACAATTTGGGTTGTGTCACCTATTAATGGTCCAAGTGACCAAGTTGTGATATAAGTCTGGTCGTGTGTCCTAACACCTATTATTTTAACAGGTCAAGTCACCCAGTTAAGAACTTTTGTGGTGATGGATGGAAATTTATTTCAATGAGGCAACGCTCAACAACAATCAAACAAGACCAAATGATTCGGATATAACATTTTCATGGAGAGATGAAAAATGCCAAGGTAATATTGTGTCCATGGTCGGACGAAGAGGATAGTCTAGTGATTTATAACTTTATGCTAAAACAGATCCACATGTCCTACATAAAAAATATAAATCAAAATATTAAAATCTCCCTAAAATAATCATCAAAACCTACTAAGAATAGAGTAAAATATATAGTATGAAATCGACTCATCATGGAGAGGAAGCATAGTTAACTTTCTTTGTTTTTTTTTTTTTGGTACAACATTTTAAGTATCTACACTAAAGGGATACAGGTCGAGATTCGAACTTAAGATTTCTTAATTATAAGTAAAGAGGAATACTACTACATTGTAGTACTGAGTGACAACTGCTCTATCATTTATAACTTGGGTTTTGAACTTGCCATTAATTAGAGTCGAACATAATACCTTTAATTTTCAAGTGATGTAGAATATCACTAAAACGTAGTGCTAGTATAAAATTAACATTAAATAAATAAAGTATCAAAACATAATCAATGAAAAATGTAAAAATCATATTCGGGTATGGGCTGATAAGAATGATTTAGGCGGGTCGCGTGTGGTTTCTCCGAACCGTTGGCCATTCAGTAGTATAGCGATACGTTTTGCACGATTAGAGCTCTGGATTTATTGCTTTGCTCACACGAACAGATGCTTGTGCATGCCACACTCAAATTTGGTCACAGATCCAATTGCTTATAAGCACATGCATACTCTCAACACGCCGTTTCATGTGTGGACTTTATACTCTCAGCATACCGCCTCACGTGTGGAGAATTTTCAAGCTTAGCATGTGAACAACAAAAATCGGATGACGTGGGTCGGATGACGTGGAGCGGATGACGAGCCTTACATTTTGGACAACTTGCTATGATAACATGAAGAAGATTGAGATTCCATCATAAAACTAACTGACAATATGGATAGTAGCTCAATTTACTTATTTTCTCTCATCTAATTGGCCATATAGAGAGTAGTCTTACTTTTAAGCCATGCAAGTCTGTTCTCCCGTCAATCCTCAACAATTTGAATTTCTAAAAAATAATAGTGGATTGCGGTTATGGATAGAGTTTTCTTCTTCTTCCTGAGTGAGTCCAAATCATTCCCCTCCTTAGTATAGTTCAGGGTAACAATGGCGTCTGACTAGAGTGTAACTGATCACATTTTCTGTAGGGTTTTTGAAATATGTAGAAAATGAATTCTGGATACTTTCGTTGAGTTTACATGTATATATAATTACAAAGAAGAACCCTAGCCATATAAAACTAGGACTCTTAACTACAAAGATAACTACTTAGAAGTAAATGAAGCCTTATCAATAATTCGTTAACAAAATAAATGGTATTTGGTGTGCTGGTAGACGCGCAATTGGAGGATCTTACGAGCATGAAACTCGGAAAATTGATAACTTTACTACTCTGAACACCAGGAATGTCTATTCTGATATCTTCATTGCTGGCGGTTATAAATGGTAATTTTTTTCTTCTTCCCTAGATATAGACCTTCATGTCAACATTCGATTTACGCACCCGAAGTTGGTTTATATATTTTTCTTCTTGGTTGATTGGATTTTGAATTGCTATGGTTTGTTTGATCAGGAGGATACTAATATTGTTGGAAGTTCAAATCAAATATAGTGGCCGAAAGTGGTGGAAAACTTTTCAGAAAGTGGTGGAACACTTTTAGAAATTGTTGGAACACTTTTCAGAAAGTGTGAGCTACTAGCCGAAAGGTTGTGATGTTTGTTTATTAAAAGATGGTAAACACCATCATTGATTGCATGTGTGTGTGTATTTTTTTATTAAAAAGCACTTGAGTGATTTGTAACTTTTGCATGTATAATTAAGCCTCTTGTAAGACTTTAGAAAAAACCATCCGAATTCCCATTCCATTCCAATTCCCATTCTCATTTTTCAGCTTGTAACCTTTAAGAGTTATAAACTCTTCTAATATTTCAAAGTATTTTGTTATCAACAAGTTTGCCACTTCTTTCCTTTCGTTTGTCCAATTTTATTGAGAGTGATAGTGAGAGGTGTGATAAAGTTAGAAAACTTATCACCCACATATTTTTGGCATTGAGTTACTAAACTTTTAAATACCAACATTTGGTATCAGAGCCAGGTTACCTTTATGGCAAGTGCAGTAGCTATGGCATCTAACTTAGTGCAGCTCCAGGTTCCCACATTGAAGAAAGAAAATTATGAAAGATGGTGCATCTAGTTCAAAGCATTGTTTGGATCATAGGACCTATGGGAAGTTGTCAGTAATGGGTATGATGAACCCACTACTGAGCAAGAAGCTGCCTACACTATAGATCAAAGGAATACTCTCAAGGACTTACGAAAGAAGGACAAGAAGGTGCTATATCTTCTATATCAAGGATTAGAAGATTCAACGTTCGAGAAGGTTGCAAAAGCAACAACTAGCAAGCAAGTTTGGGACACTCTGAGGACAATTTACCAAGGAGTAGATCGAGTAAAAAGAGTCCGGCTTCAATCATTAAGAGCAGATTTTGAGGCTACTTATATGAAAAAAGGAGAAAACATTTCAAACTACTACTCTCGACTACTTGTAATTGTGAATCAAATGAAAAGGAATGGCGAGAAGCTTGAAGATGTTCGTGTCATGGAGAAAATCCTTCGATCCCTTACATGCAAATTTGAGCATGTGGTGACTGCCATTGAGGAATCCAAGGATTTGGAGAAAATGAGCGCAAAGGAACTGCTAGGATCCCTTCTGGTTCACGAGCAATGCATTCAGAAGAATGCAAGCCCTACAATGCTAGAGCAAGCTTTGGAGTCAAAGTTGAATATTCACAAACCAAATGGAGGTCGTGGGCAGTGGAACTCACGTTGTGGGATTTCATCCAACCTAGCACAGGACGAGCCCGAGGAAGAGGTCGAGGCTATGCACAAAACCGAGGTCAATCTCAAGAGTGGAGATCTACTAGAGGAAATGCTCATATCCAGTGTCACAGTTGCAAGCAATATGGACATTATGCCAATGACTGTTCATAAAAAAATGGTGAGCATGTTAACATGGTAGAATCAAGTGGAAATGCTGGTGAGGAATTTACAGTCTTACTAGCACACCATGATATCAGTAGCCAATAAGATGTTTGGTATTTGGACTCTGGTGCAAGCAACCACATGTGTGGAAAGAAAGAGTTTTTTGTCGAACTCAAAGATAGGCCTTATGGATCTGTGAGTCTTGGTGGCTCCTCAAAGTTTCCAGTTGAAGGCAAAGGAAAAATCAAAATCATCCAGAAGGGATGGTAGAGAAGAATACATATCCGATACCTACTACATACCAGGTATGAAGAGCAACATTCTGAGCATTGGTCAACTGCTCCAGAAAGGGCATGTTATACATATGGAGAATTTGCTTCTCACTCTCAGGAATGCAAAGAGAAAGCTTATTGCACGTATTCAAATGTCAAAGAAATGAATGTTCCTGTTGAAGTTGAACACAAATATTGGAAGCTACAACATTGGTGTGATGAAAGATGAGTCATGGAAATGGCATCTTCGGTTTGGCCATCTTCATTTCAATGGTCTAAAGTTATTGTCAAGTGGAGAAATGGTTCGTGGTCTACCCCAGATTGAAGCCACACACAATGTATGTGAAGGTTGTGTACTTGGTAAACAAGCACGACTATCGTTCCCTGTTGGTGATACATGGAGAGCAAAGGCAACACTGCAGTTAGTGCACACATATATGTGGTCCGTTGGATCCTATGTCCTATGGAGGTAATAGGTATTTTATTACCTTCATTGATGATTTTAGTAGGAAGACTTGGGTTTATTTTCTCAAGGAGAAGTCGACTGCCCTAAGAGTTTTCAAGGAGTTTAAGGCATTCACAGAAGCTGAAAGCAACCACAAGCTTGTGGCTGTGAGATTAGATATAGGTGGAGAGTACACCTCCAATGCTTTCCAAGCATATTACAAGGAGCAAGGAATTAGACATCAACTGACTGCTGCCTATACCCCACAACAAAATGGGATAGCCGAAAGAAAGAATCGAACCATCCTTGACATGACAAGGCCTATGCTTAAAGAGAAGAATTTGCCAAAAGAATTGTGGGCAGAAACTGTAGCTTGTTCGATTTATTTGTTGAATCGATGTCCAACAAAAAGTGTCAAGAGGATGACACCACAAGAGGCTTGGAGTGGATACAAGCCGAATGTTGCACACCTAAGAGTTTTTGGGTGTGTTACATATGCTCAAGTTCCAAAAGCCAAGAGGAGGAAGCTTGATGATCGAGGTGAAAAATGTGTGTTTGTGGGCTATAGTGAAGAGTCTAAGGCATACAAACTCTACAACCCACTAACTAGCAAACTAGTGGTTAGTAGAGATGTCATCTTCAACGAGGAAGATGCATGGAAGTGGAA